TATTTTACTTCTGCTTGCTTTGGGCTTAATTTACTTTTATTTTTCTAGTTCCTTAAATGGAAGCTTAGATTATTAATTTTTTGTTTGTTTGTTTCCAATCTAAAAATTTTTATTTTTTCCTAAAAGTTTTATGGTTTTACATTTACTACCATGTACCTTATTTTTTTTTTATTGTATTTGGGCTCTGGGGTACATGTGCACGTCCTACATCCTGCAGGATTGTTTCATAGGTACATACATGCCATGGTGGTTTGACGTCTCTATCCCCTCCCCACCATCGCCTACATCAGGCATTTCTCCTGGTGTTATCCCTCCCCCTCCTCCCTACCCCCTCGTCCCCCCTCCCCTCACCTCTACCCCTCCACCTAGCCCTGTGCGTGTTGTTCCCTTCCCTGTGCCCAAGTGTTCTCATTGTTCATCACCCACCTATGAGTGAAAACATGTGGTGTTTGGTTTTCTGTTCTTCTGTCAGTTTGCTGAGAATGATGGTTTCTAGGTTCATCCATGTCTCTACAAAGGACACGAACTCATCATTTTTTATGGCTGCATAGTATTCCATGGTATATATGTGCCACATTTTTTTTTGTCCAGTCTATCATCGATGGGCATTTGGGTTGGTTCCAGGTCTTTGCAAACGTAAATAGTGCCACAATGAACATACATGTGCATGTGCCTTTACGATAGAATGATTTATAATCCTTTGGGTATATACCCAGTAATGGGATTGCTGGGTCAAATGATGTTTCTTTTTCTAGATTCCTGAGGAATTGCCACACTGTCTTCCACAATGGTTGAACTAATTTACACTCCCACCAACAGTGTAAAAGTGTTCCTTTTTCTCCATATCCTCTCCAGCATCTGTTGTCTCCAGATTTTTTAATGACCGCCATTCTAACTGGTGTGAGATGATATCTCAGTGTGGTTTTGATTTGCATTTCTCTAATGACCAATGATGATGAGCATTTTTTCATATGTTTGTTGGCCACATATTTGTCTTCTTTTGAAAAGTGTCTGTTCATATCCTTCACCCACTTTTGAATGGGTTTGTTTGTTTGTTTCCTGTAAATCTGCTTTTGTTCTTTGTAGATTCTGGATATTAGCCCTTTGTCTGATGGGTAGATTGTGAAAATTTTTCCCATTCTGTTGGTTGCCGGTTTACTCTAATGATTGTTTCTTTTGCTGTACAGAAGCTCTGGAGTTTAATTATTTCTAGCACAAAAATTTAGTTTTATACATTTTCATCTCAGCACAGCTTTACCTGTGTCCCACAAATTTTGATACATTTTATTTTTATTTACAGTTCAATGTAGTTTTTATTTCTTTTAAGATCTCTTTAACCCATGAATTTTTTTTAAAGTATGCCTTTTAATTTCTAAGTGTTTGTAGATTTTCATGTTGCCTTTCTGTTATTGTTTTCTGATTTGATTCCATCATAGAGAAAACATCATGTATTATTTCAATTCTTTCAATATTTTGTGGATTGTTTTTATGATCAAGAATATGTCTATATTGGCATATATTCCTTGGGTGTTTGAAATAATGTAAATTATATTCTTTTCCTGTGGAGCATTCTACACATTTCATTTAGGCCTTATTGAAACCTATTGTTGGGTTCTTCTACATCTTGCTGATTCTCTGTATATTTGATCTATCAATTGTTCAGAGAAGGTGTTGAAGTCTCCAACTATGAATGTGAATTTTTCTATTTCTCCATTTAGTAATAATAATGTTTGCTTCCTATATTTGCAGCTTTTCTGTTTAAAGCATACACATTTAGGAGTGCTATGTCTTATTGGTGGATTGACACTTTCACCATTATGTAATGTCCCTATCTGTCCCCGGTATTTTTTGTTGTTGTTTTTGCTCTGAAGTCTACTTTATCTGATATCACTAGAACCACCTCTGTTACCTTTTAAAATTAATATTTGCATGGTGTATCTTCTTACATCATTTTACTTTCAACCTTTCTAAATCATTATATCTGAGGTGAACATCTTGCAACAGCCTATCATTGGATCCTGTTTTCTTATTTGCCAATCTCTGTCTTTTAATTGGTATGTTTAGACCATTTTCATTTATTGTACTTATTGATAATGCTTAATTTTGCCAATTTACTTTTGTTTTCTCTTTGTTCTCTGGTTTTTTATTTTTCTATTTTCATTTTTCTGACTTCCTGTGGGCTACTCGAACAATGTTTAAAATTCCATTTGTTTCATTTATAGCATTTTTGAATCTATCTTTTTGTATAGCATTTTTAGGGGTTGCTCTAGATATTACATTATATATGCATAACTTATAATAATCTACTGGTGTCAACATTTTGCCGATTTCAATGAAACCCTACCTCTCTTTTCACCCCTTTATTCTCCTCTTTATAATGTAGTTGTGTTAAATATTCCTCCCACATACTTTACAGACACATCAGACAGTGTTATAATTGATGTTTTAAGCTTCAAACATAACTTGGAAAACTTAAGAGAAGGAAAATCCATTATGTTTACCCATGATTTTTTCTCTTTCCATTGGTCTTTATTCCTTTCTAATGTTCAATATGCTTTCTTTTATCATTCCCTTTCTGCGTAGAGAATTTTCTTTAGATATTCTCTTAGTAGAGGTATGTTGTTGAGTAATTTTGTTAGTGTCTCTTAATCTGAGAATGTCTTGATCTTCCTTTCATATCTGAAGCATATTTTCACTGAATATAGGATTCTGGGTTGACAGTTTTCTTTATTCAGCTCTAGAAAAATATTATGCCACTTCCTTCTGGAAACCATGGTTTCTGACCAAAAATTCACTCTTATTCAAATTGGTTTTCTTCTATACGTATCATTTCTGTTTCGCTGCATTCAAAGCTTTTCTCTTCATGTTTCAGGAGTTTTGTTATTACAGGTCTTGGAGTGTATTTCTTTACATTTATACTGTTCGAGCTTCACTCAGCTTCTTAAATTTCCAGATTTATGTCTTTTGGCAAATTTAGTGAGTTTTCAGCCATTATTTCTTGGAATACTTTAGCCTAATTCTCTTTCACTTCTCATTCTGGAATTCCAGTGACTTGAAAGTTGGATCTTTTGTTTATAATCCTATGTGTCCCTGAGTCTATGTTTATTTTTTTTTTCTAGGATATTTTCTCTCTGTTGTTCAGATTGATTGTTTCTGTTGTTCTACCTTAATTCTTTCCTCTGTTCTTACCATTCTCCTCTTGATTCTATTCATTGAATTTGTTTGCATTATTGTATTTTTCAGTTCTAAAATTTCCATTTGCTTCTTCTTTATATTTTCTGTTTCTTTGTTGAGAATTCTGATTTGTTTGCTGAGACTTTCTGTGTTTTTTTCATTTGTTTCCAAGCATGGTTGCAATTGTCGTTTGAAGCACTTTAATGATTACTGCTTTAAAATCCTTGTCAGGCAATTCTGACATCTGTGTCATCTTTCTGTTGGCATCTGCCAATAGTATTTTCCATTCTGTTTGATATCTTACTGGTTCTTGGTATGACAAGTGCTTCACCACTGAAACTTGGGCATTTTGGATATTACATTATAAGGCTGGATCTTATTTAAAATCTGCTTTAGCTGACTTCCTCTGACACTGCTCTGGCAGGGAAAGGGGCACCATCTTATTCTTCATTGGCATCAGGGAGGGTGGCACTCTTCATTACTGCTGGGCAGGGGTGAGGATTCCAGCTCCCCACTAAGCTTTTACTGATACTACTCTAGTGGGGATGGGGAAGGGCACCTCATTACTGCTATGTGGGGGTGGAGCCGAGGCTCCTCGTTTGGCTTTTGCTGATGGAATATAATGGGACTGCATTTTCTTCTATGGTATTTGGCTAGAGTAGAGCAGTTATTGTCTAAAAGTTTTCAGTCTTGCTAGGCTACCCATTTCTTGGTCCGTTGGCTAGAAAGAGCAGGCTCTTGTTGGGGTTTCTTTGTCAGTGTTCATAAGCATTCTGGGTTTCTGGCTTCTTCAGCTCCAAGTCTGGTATATATGAGGCAAAAAGAAAATCCAGAATACTCACCACTGCATCATTGCTCAAGTCCCAAGATCCCTAACCAGTACACCTTTTTCTTTCCACCTTTTGGTGTCTTATTATGTTTGTTTTATATGTAATGTCCAGAGGTTTTAGTGATACTCAGTGACAGAATGGGGAAAAGTACTTCATATTTCCAGAGGCAGAGGTTTAGACACTGAGATTTTAGAGCCCGATGCTGTACTGCCAAGGAGGCTTATGGGAAGTAGAGCTGTCCTCATATATTAATGTCTTAGCAGAGCTTTTATTTCATGTCTGCATCATGAAAAACAAAAAGAAATGAAACTTTACCTGGGTTTGCATATATCTACTTATCCATCATGGAGGAGTAGCCATGATCATAGCCTGCTCAGTCACTTTCCTGTAAATCGGTGCACCAGAGTTTCCTGAGCCCCTTTCAACATTCATTGCTTCCATCCTATGTCTATCAGGCTTTGAACTGTTAGTCAGCTCACTTGGCTGTATCCTAACAGTGTCACAGTTGGTGGCTGCTTCTTCTATGAACCATAAGGCATACTCTAGTAGAGCTGAAGAGGCCCTAAGCCATCACCTAATTTAACCACCATGTTTTCATATAAGGAAACTGTATCTCAGAGAACAGAGAAGCATTTCCCTGGATCCCGCTGTATATTACACAAAAGCAAATCCAGACCTAGGACACAGATTCCATGCCTGTAAGCCCAATGTTATTTTAGTTGCAACAAGCTGCTCCTCCATCCACCCCTCTGCCTTCCAGTGAACTTTGTTCTGCCTCTGGTCAAGGACTGTGATTTTATCCCAGCCAACTGTCTCACAGAAATGCCCCACATCCTTGGGGGTGGGGGTACTCAATGAGGGTGGTGGGTGGGAAGAGGGGAAAAGGAATGTGGCTGACTCCACACAAACCTGTCTTCAGAGTGAAAGTCTGTGATTCACGGGGTCAGTGGTCTCATCTTCATATCTGAAAGACAGTGTACTTTTTGTCTCCCTAAGCCCTGTGTCTAGGTCGTTTGAGAAACGCCTTGGAGAGTCAAGAATAAAATTGCAGGTCAAACAATGGATGACTGGAAAAGTCGGCTTGTAATCAAGAGCATGCTTCCCCATTTCGCCATGGTGGGAAATCGTCAGGAGCCCAGAAAGCTCCAGGAATCGGTCAGACAATGGGCTATGGGGGGAGGGGGGTGTTGAATGCTTCTAATCTTAAACTTGAACGTAAGATGTGTTATTGAAATTTTCTGTGTAAACTTAGTGGCAGGAATCCAACCCAAAATATAAGGAACTCAAATCTGATCCAGAAGAGATATAGGAGATGTGCTGATCCCACCCCTTGTAGGTTTCTAGAAGAACTAGGAATACAGTTTAAGGCTACATCTGGATTCCCAGTTTAGTGATCCCTGCACTGCACCCATTCAATAAGAAAAATGAGGAAAGATGAGAGAGGAAAGAAGATTTTACTTTTTCTCCTAATAGAAGCCACTCAGAATGGCAAGCACTAGGTATATTGCATGAGCTCTAGAATGACTGAGAACAAAAAGCTAGTGCGTAGGACACAGAAAGGGCTTCCCATTCAACTTTCTGGCCCTGTTGTCATTTTAAAAACTCACCTGACACGCTTCTACTGTCTTCTCAGGGAACTCAGACATCATCCAAGTGTTCTGAAACTCAGGACTAGGGATTCCAGTGGTAGTTCTAGGAGCAGGATGATGATAGAAGGGACTATGAGAGCCATTGGCTAGTTTAATTTGACAACAAAAGCCTGCAACACCACCAATCCACCAAGATTAGCTCTGTTAGCAGGAGTTGCAGCAAACACAATAGCTGTTATCTCAGGGTATTAGGGCCACAGAGGAGTGGCTTGCTTAATCTCTGAAATTAATAGAGCAGAGAGGAAATAGCTCTTATAGAGCCGTGGGTCTGCTTCCTTCCTTTTCATAGAACTGGAAGCCCTGGGCTCTGAGGTAATGCCACTTCACATAACTAGAGGGCCTGTCTTCTCCAATTCCCAGGGCAATCCACTTTCAGCAACTCAGCTTTCTATTTATTTTTTAATTTTATTTATTTTAAAAATTTTGATACAATTCCACAGATGTGGAAGGGGGTGATTGAAATCTTATCTCCTTTTTTTCTTCATTGCCAACCACCAAAAACATATTGAGAACGTGCTATCAAGTTAAACATATAGACATTGACAAAACTTTGTTTACTGGAGTCCCCAGCTCTCACAGAGATTGTAGTCAGGTGGATGGCAGAAATGGAGACATTACTTAGTCAACAGCTGGCCCAAGTTGCCAGGCCTTACGCCTCTTCTAGAAAGGAATATCTAACCTCCTTCCTAATTATCCTTTATATTTCTTGCTTCTTGTTTATGATCAACAATTGAGTCAGTAAAGAAAAACTTCATGGCCGGGCGCGGTGGCTCAAGCCTGTAATCCCAGCACTTTGGGAGGCCGAGGCGGGTGGATCACAAGGTCAAGAGATCGAGACCATCCTGGTCAACACGGTGAAACCCCGTCTCTACTAAAACTACAAAAAAATTAGCTGGGCATGGTGGCGCGTGTCTGTAGTCCCAGCTACTCAGGAGGCTGAGGCAGGGGAATTGCCTGAACTCAGGAGGCAGAGGTTGCGGTGAGCCGAGATCGCGCCATTGCACTCCAGCCTGGGTAACAAGAGCGAAACTCCGTCTCAAAAAAAAAAAAAAAAAAAAAAAGAAAAACTTCATAATGCTCCCAGAGTCCATGATCAGTTTTAGTTTGACTTTACATTTCTCTTTTGTTTCCCACTTGATTCCATTCACTTGGGCCAAATTCTAAGAGAAAGGGTTGATGGACTGTGGATACAGGGGTCCTCTTCCCCTTCTCCCCGACTCCATCAGCACTCTTAAAAAGTGTGACCAGTACATAACTCCTTTGGTTTTGATCAGTGTACAGCTGAGTGCACATATTCCAGGGAGGGTTGTCCTTAGAATAGGTCCTTGGAGCAGCCATCTGTGCTTTTACTCTGGAGAAGCTGTCATTGCTTATGTCATTTCCGGGCTTGGCTTCTCTTTGCAGATGACCTTTAGAGCCCTTTGTAAGCTTTGCCAAAAATTCACATTCATTGCTTTAGGGTCACACTTGGAACTTGATCAGGATCAGCCCTCTGCCTCCTCTATGCCACACCTCGTCCTCTGAAAGAGTTCTCTGTGGAGTTCTGAGTGGCTTGAGTATTTCTAAAACTTCAAGCTGTCCTAGAACACCAAGAATTCACCCCAGTTGAGGAGATAAAAGAATTGTAAAAATTTGCCTCAGGCTCCAAAAGCAACTCTCTCAGATGGTCTTCTTCACAGTTGAAACAGCATTGGACAGCATTGAGAGAACCCACTTCTTTGACTGTGTGTGATAGGTGCTGCTGTAGGGGATCCCTGTAGCCTCAAGAAGATACCCAGCGCTAACATGAAACTCTGCTGCACATGCTGAGGATCTCAGAATCTGGGTCTTTATGGACTAAGGTTGACCAAATAAAAGCAGAATGGGCTGTGAGTTCACCAGGAAACCTGCTGCCTAAACAAGTTATTGCTAAGCCTAGAAAGTGAGTAGTGGAAGGAGGTCCTTTGCAAAGCTGGGCTTGCATTTACAGAGTGTAGCCTTAGCTGGATCTCAGATGTTTCCCTTGTTTGCTCTCTCTCTGACACTGCATAACACCCAGGGATTGATACCCTGAACCCTAGTCCCAGGAAACCATGTGCATCTGGAAGCATGTTTCTTGCACCACTCTCACTCATCCTGAAAGCATTGCTAACAGAGATTTGCTTCAGGCATTCAGCTTAACTGGTTCTCTTGTTCTTTCCCAGAAAAGAAACAAACAAAAAACATGTTTCAAGTCAATCTCGAAATAAAATGATATCAGTCCCAGAGGAGAGTTCTCTTTAAGCAGTCCTTGAATTTACATGGAAACAATTGTGAGCTCCCTGGAAGGAAAACGTGCATCTGATGTGACGCTTGTTCTTGGCCTAAGACTAGGGCTCAAAACACCTAGGTTCTAGTCTTGTAGTTACTCCTCACTAGCTATGGGGCTTTGTCCATCTTTTGCCCTCTCTGAGAACAAAGTTCAAATGAACCAAGAGTAAGAATAACCACCTTTAAGTGAGCATTGACTAGGTGCTAGGCAGTTTGCTAAGCATTTGTGGGACAATATCTCCTATCATCCTCATGATAACCTTGGGAAGAAGAAGCTATTAATATGTCCAGGAAACCGAGGCTCAGAGAGGTTAAGAAATTTGACTGAAGTCACAGATAAAAGAAGTGACAAACTCAGAGGCCAGTGGCATTACCACTATACTCTAATGTCCATTGAAAACCACTAAATGCTGAACACATATCAGGCAGGGGCCATCATCATAAGAAATCTTAGTAATGCAGTACCTTTTCAGCATCTGTTCATTCATTTAATAGTGTAACTGCTTAATGACTCTGGCAATCTGGGAACAGAAAAGTTTGACCTTTTGAACACTTGGGCGAGTACCCAAGATTAATAAGGCATCCAGTCTCTGCAGTTAGTGTATGGAGTTTTAACAGGAGGCAGAACATTTGGTCCTTCCCTTTGAAGTTACGATCTCGATTCTTCCCATAGATTGGTAGGTCGAAGGATTGTGAGAATCTAGAAGGCGTTAGCACTCCAATTTGCAAGTGTTCCAGAGCCTGCATGGAGTTGAGACTCAGTGTGCATGTCACATGCCGTCCCTGTCTCAGGCTACACCCCACTGTAAGTGGCAGTTTCCTCCAGCTCGGAGCAGGCACCTATTCCCTTCATAAGGCAGCTCCTAGACAAAATGCCCCTCATACAAAGGGCATGAGATACAGTTGGAGGAGGAAGGAGACACAGTGCTCTTTGCACATCTTCTGTGTTCAGCTATTTAATGGTAAGAAGTGACTCCCTGTAGAGATTACAATGGGATGCCGTGCCCAGTATTTCTTCTGAGCTTCCCAACCAGTCAGTGGCTGAGCAGGGTGGGGGGGTTTTATTATTCTCCTTCTTTATGGATAAAGAGAATAAAGTCTGAGAAATTCAGTGACTTTCAGAAGGCTATCCAGAAGGTGGGGGTCCTACATCAAGGGTCCTCATTTGGGTGGCCCCAAGTGCAGAGTGCTTTCCACCTACGGTACGACAAAAAAACAACCCCTCAGCCCACATCTTTCTCATCTCTAAACACAAGTAGGACTGAAGAAGGGGGAGAGAGGAACCCTCAGTGTAACAGGGTATGTGGACATTTGGATGGCTACAAAAATGCTGACCCCATTCTATCTGTCCCTTTTCTGTAGACTGGTGACCTTAGACATACCCAGTAGGAGGAGCTCCAGTCACCTCCTCCCTTGGTGTGTGTGATGGGGTTAAAGATTTCTGCCCATCAGCTTGGGAGGCTGCAAAAGAAAAGTGCTGGACTCAGGAAGGGGGACCTCAGACTTGATCCAGGGTTGGAACAAGCTATTTGTGAGATTTTGAGCAGGTGTCTTTCTTTTTGAGGTCAGAGGGCATGGGTGTGAGCTCTAAGGGCCTGTCTATCTCTGGCCTCCTGCCACATTTCCAGGGTCCCTTCTCTGTGGCCAGCCCTGTGCTAGACCTTGAGCTCTAGGAGCTCATAGTCTGGGAGCAAATTATTTCCAGGTTTCCTCCACTGGGAACAAATCTATCTCACTCTGTAGTTCTTGGTGAAACCTAGAGACAAGTCGTTGAGCGTCTCTCTTGTGCAAGGTACTTTGTACACAGTAGCTCATTTGCTCCTGTGTCACAGAGACTGATATTTCCACTTCCCCAGGGAGGAGACTGATACTCAGAAAGGATGGAGACTTTCCCAATGTCACACAGGCAGGCAGTTGTAAATTCAGATCTCAAATTGAGGTACCCTGCCTCCAACGCTTTTCCTACCCTGATGCTTTCCATTCCCAGATTAGGAGCTCAGGTAGCTCCAGGGCTTTCTGTAGGCCAGGCACGGTTCTCAGACAACCCATAAACAGGTAAAGAGTAGAAGCACATTTACTTCATTCCAGTGGCTCCCTTGAACCTTCCAATCAGCGTTGTCCACTGCCAAGCCTGGTAGAAAGCCAGGCTGCTTAAAAACCCCATGCAGGGGCAGCCAGCTGGGAACAGAGTGAGTTGTCAAAAGAGCTCCCTTAGAA